AAGGTAGCTTTTATATCCCCTTTTACTAAATCTTCCTCAGAAGGGTGCGATGGTGCGTTGTCTAATAGCAGTAGAGCTCGAACAGGAAGATTTTTTTTCGTCAAGTCCTTCTCAACACATGGCACAAACTCGTAAAAAAACCAAGATTTGAATTGATCGATTGATATTGGTTGCGATAATAAACCGGCACGGATGATAAGTTTATGTTTTTGAAAGCCCTGGGCTTCTTAGATTTGCCTATGACAAACAGCGAAAGCTTGTGTGTTCCATCAGCATTGCTACAAGGAGCAACAGTTAGCCTATCTTTCATGAGTTTCGTTCCCGCTACGGTTTCATTTGACGCACTTAAGGTTTTGTTTGGAAGCATTTTATAATTTAGGCCTGTCTCGTCTATGTTATAGACTTGGCAAGATAACAGTTCATTTTCTTTTTTAATTTGTTGAAACTTCACAGAAAACTCCTTAGCCGCCTCGACGTCAGCAGATAATTTTTCACCACAAATTGAGACAAACCGGATACCATGACGGGTTTTCCAACGATCAATCCAGCCTTCACTGGCTTTAAATTCACTTCCGACTTCTAGTTTTTTGTGCAAAATTATTGCCTTTTCTTTTATAATTGGGCCAGATATCGGAGTTCCCTTCCTTCTTTCTTGACTGAACCACATCCCTAGAGCACTATCAAGCAGTTCAAGTTTAGGCTTTTTTAACGTTTTTCGCTTTTTAAGAGCGTTTTCTCCATCTACTATCGTCATTGTATGTGATTCAATTTCTTTTCGATTTTTTCTCCAATCCTTAATAGTCGTAACGCCTACATTCAGTTCCTTGGCAATTTTTTGTAGTCATTCACCTTTGTCCAGCCTTTGAAGCACTGCAAGTTTTTCACTTAACGAACGCGTAACGTGTTTACGTTTTGCTCCTGACATGTTGAAAATAATGTACACACTTTAACTCACAAAGTTCGAAATAATACTGACAGAATGGATTGTGATTTTCGGAGAAATTTTCGTCGTAAACAAATCGACCGGCGGGGATTTCCGCGAAGCCAAGCAGGTCGGATTACCCGGAGCGTCGGACCATCCGAGGGCGGACGAGAGGGGTTCTACTGTATTAAGAAACCAGAATGCTTAAAATCGTTAGCGGGGTCGGTTGTATAACGTTACAATCGCCCCCGCGCCGCGATGGTATGTTACGTTCGGCCCCGACCTTACTTTTTAAAATCTTTTAAACAATGAACAACGCTATTCTTCAAATATCTAAACCAACTATATGGAAGATAAAGTACATACCTGAAACAATAAAGCTTATATTTCACTTAGACATCACTCGAAAATTATTACTAAGGAGCACTAAAAACAATTGTTGTCTTGTACACAATCGAGATGCTACCGATATCGCTCACATACGAATATATGGTAGTCGGCAATTTTGTCAGTTTACAAAACTAGCGCAAGCGCTGTTATTGTTTTCGTGGTTTCAGATATTTGAGTTTACTTTCGCCGTCTATTACTTTCGACCCCGGTCTGCTGGCTACTAAAAAAGTAAGTACCAAACTACATATGTTTTCATATCTTAGTCAAAATATTACCCTACGTTTCTATTAATTTAGTGGTATTGCTTACTTTTAGGTTCACTGAAGATGGACTGATATGTCCGAAAACTGTTTGGACATAATTCTTATGGATTTTGAAAATTAAATTTTTTATTGAATATACCTATTACAAACGAAGTATTTTACTTCAATGTTAAAGTTATTTTACTATATGGTATACAGCTAAGTGAAAAGCCCGATCAACATTCAATACTATGAGAAAAGTACTTTGCAGCAATGATCTGAGTCTGCAACTTAAAGTACGAATGCTTAGATGTTATGTATTTTCTGTGTTATTATATGGAATGGAGGCTTGGACGCTTAAAAAAGATATAAGTAACAGAATAGAAGCGTTTGAGATGTGGGCTTATAGAAGAATTTTAAAAATAAGTTGGATCGATAAGGTTACGAACAACGACGTTTTAAAAAGAATGAACAAGGAAAAGGAGATATTAAATACAATTAAAATAAGAAAATTGCAGTATCTGGGTCATGTCATGAGAGGTGAGAGATATGAGTTGCTGCAGATCATTATACAGGGAAAGATACTGGGCAGAAGAAGCATAGGCCGACGACGTGTATCCTGGCTAAACAATTTGAGGCAGTGGTACAATTGTAACTCTGTTGAGCTGTTTAGAGCAGCAGTGTCAAAGGTGAAGATAGCCGTGATGATAGCCAACCTTCTTAAAGGAGACGGCACTTAAAGAAGAAGATACAGCTAAGTCACGGGAATTATCCCTTTTTAAGTATATTATAATTATAACATTATCATATTCTTAGTGTTCAATTTATTCACATGCGAAAAATCATGTAATTTTTTCGCTGTCTTATTAACTATCCTTCCACATTTTACAATTATTACCTTAGTCCAACCCTTGATAACCCATCGTATTCCAGTTCAACCTCCCTGCTTTAGAAATACAGACAGTTTTAAAATATTAGAGAAGAAAGACTCTCTCTTGCCTGTTAACTGTCGCAAGGACAGTCGTTCGCTCTCTTCCGTCTGCTGAGTTTCCATAGGCAGGCGTACTCTCTGTCTTGCCTGTTGACGTATCCCTCTTAGCTGTTATCTATCGCTGAAGAGACATTCTCGCTACTGTTGATTGCCGCTAAATAATTATCTTTCTCCCGCTTTTAGTTAGTAGAAAAATACTGCAAATACTATTTGAAATACAAATGACACCAAAAGTGAAAAGATTAGCAAAGATACAAGGGCTCTCATGGAAATACGAAGAAGCCTAAGCGAGAACGAAAAGGGAAACAAAGAAGAATATAAAAAACTAAATAAAAGAATTTCAGCGGAAATTAGAAAAGATGTAAGAAGATATAATACTAATGTAATTACTCAAACAGTAGAAGAGAACAAAGGTTTAAAGATAATGAAAAGAAAACTTACGCAAAGTAAAAAAGAAATATACAAGCTGAGAGATAAAGACGGAAAGGCAACAACAGATATACAAAATATTCTGAAAATAACTAGAGAATTTTATAAAGACCTCTATATAATAATATTTTATAAAGACCACAAGACAATTTCCCGACACGAGTAAAGACTCTCATAAATCAGGGATCGGAAATACTTTTACCCATTACTGTGTCGGAAGTAAGAGCAGCTTTAAAGGAAATGAAGAACCATCGATCGCCTGGTAATGATGGACTCGTTATCGAGGCAATAAAAGCAGGTGGAGAAATTTTATTAAAATCAGTAGGCGAACTGTTTACTACTGGAACAATGCAGTAATAGTCTTGTTACACAAAAAAGGCGATATTACTAAATTAGAAAATTATAGACCCATCAGCCTCTTGAGACATATGTACAAACTCTTTATGAAAATCTTAACAAAGAGGCTAACACCTAAACTTGATTTCTATCAGCCCAAAGAACAGGCAGGCTTCAGGGCAGGATATGGCACGAATGACCATTTGCATACCATAAAGATCTTAATAGAAAAGTGCATCGAGTACAACATACCACTAGTTCTTGCATTTGTCGATTACGAGAAGGCTTTTGATTCTGTAGAGTTTGAAATAATACTGGAAGCCCTAAATCAAAGCCGAATAGATTACAGGTACACGACACTAATCAAAAACATCTATCAGAATGCTACATCAAGTATACGACTGCACGAAGACACAGAAAAATTTAGCTTAGGTCGAGGAGTTAGACAAGGAGAGAATATTTCACCAAAATTGTTCACGGCAGCTCTAGAGTCAATATTTAAGGGTACTCAATGGCAAGATATGGGCATCAATATAGATGGAGAAAGATTAAATCACCTAAGGTTTGCAGATGATGTTGTATTAATCGCAGATAACTTACAAGATACAGTTTCTATGATGCATTCGCTTAAAAGTCTGTCTGAAAGAGCAGGATTAAAGATAAACTTTGAGAAAACTAAAATTATAACAAATCTCGTAATGAGTGGAAATATAACTATTGGCAATAATACCATACAACAAACAGACACTTACAAATATCTGGGACACGAAATCAAAATAAGCAGAGACAATCAAACACATGAAATACAGAGGCGAATAGGTCTAACATGGGCAGCATTTGGCAAATTAAGCCATATTCTAAAAAGTTCAATTCCCATGTGTCTCAAGCGAAAGGTTTATAACCAATGTGTTTTACCTGTACAAACTTATGAAGCAGAGACTTTAACACTCACGCAAAAATCTGCGAATAAACTTAGAGTTACACAACGAGCCATGGAACGTGCAATGCTGAACGTGAGACTTCGAGACCACATAACAAACCAACAAATCAGGCGAAGATCAGGAGTTCAAGACGTCATCGAAAGAACCACGACGCTTAAGTGGAACTGGGCAGGGCACTTAGACAGAACACAAGATGGACGGTGGACAAGACGTATTATGGAATGGAGGCCCAGAAATTATAAAAGAAGCCGAGGACGACCAGCGACTAGATGGACCGATGACATTAAACGTGTAGCGAGAAACTGGATACAAGCGGCCCAGTGTAGAGAACACTGGAAAGAACTGAAGGAGGCCTATGTCCAGCAGTGGACGCGATTGGCTGATTGATGACAGACGCAAATGTGCTCTATTTCGTGATCTCAGTGTTAGTACCGGGAAACACGTGTTCAGAAACCGGTACCCGAACAGATTCCAAGTATGAACAACAACCGTGAGTGTGTGGAGCACATATATTGGTAAGACTTTGTATACACTTAATTTGCTATTGTTTGTATAATCCTTTACTACATATTCTCATTTATTTGAACCAGCCTATGTAATACAGTCCTCATACACTGAAATTATACTCATAATTTCACATATGTACACCCTTTTTGTACACTTACCGTACACTTTGTAGCTTACCGTACCTACCTGATATAAAAATATCACAACAATATTTGTATTAAAAACAAAGTAAAACAAACAAGTTTCAAATGAGTAACGACTTTTTATTAAACATCAATATTATAAAAGATCTTCTTTTAAGTTATATAGTGTGTACATAGGATTCGCTGGCCTTTTTTTCACCCATTCTTTAATACCTGGTTGAGCCAAAACATTGTTTTTCACTTTTTGTAAACTGGGATAAGGGTTAAAGGTGTCTACACCTGTTTTATTCATTAGTGCTTCGTAACTACAGGTAAATACAATATCCGCCCAGGATAACTAAAACAAAACATGTTTTTATGTGACATTGTCTATAGGTACCCTTCGCGTCATAAAAAACTGGTACAACTCTTATAACCGAAAATCGCGTTTTTTAAGTTATGTAAGTTGATCTTCTCACATATCTCACTGTAATTTCTATATCAACGTTGACAGTTCAACACAATATTATATCAAATCAGCTAAACGGATTGCTCTGCGACAGACACATTATAAAATTACAGTAGATGAATTCCAATTTTCCTTGTGCCAATACCCTACGTTTAAGATCCTTTAAACATTTTGGGCATTAACGCAGCCCTCTCTCTGGTTGTTAACCGACGTTCTTTTTTATTTAGATTTAGTACGATTCCGTTATCTGTGATGACAACAACGAATTGATTCACGAACCAACTCTGAACAGGTTTACATTGGGAAAAAAAGTGTACCAGTTTTATATGACGGGAACTGTACATTATTGCTTTGTCGAATATTGAGGTTCTGAGTGACGATGAGGACTATAATAAATCAAAGTAGATAAAGGATATCACAGGCGTTCAGAATTCTCAATGAGAAGGTGTTATAGATAAAATAATATACACTGCGCGTCACGAAAAGAGGAAACCTAAAATTTTTGCCTTTTTTTAATTTTTACAGGTCATACCACAAAGTGATTGTCATTAGATGTTTGTGTTATGTGTAAGAATATATTCTAAAGCAGTATGCAATCATGTTTTAAATAGCAAATGTCAAAAAATAACTTCTTCCAAAATAATGATTTTATTGAAAAATAAAAAAAAATAACATTATACATTTTTTCTGTTTTATTTATAAAATTACAATTAAGTCGTGATTATCAATACTGTGTATTACCACCTCTATTGTAAATTACACTTCTCATTCGATTTGACATTAAATTGATCACATTAACACGTACTCGTCGAACACAAGCAACATAATAGTTCCCCACGTCCTCTGTATGTTTTGATGCGACCATCTGAGCCATAAAGAACTATCCTGGACTTTCTACTAAACAAAACATTTTTCCAATCTTCTATCGTCCAATGCTCGTGGTCTCTAGCAAATTGTAGTCGGCGTTGTAGATGTGCTGCTGTTAACAAAGGTCCTGTTGCTGGACAGCGAGCCCTTAGACCAAATTCACTCAACCTTCTTCTCACGGTAGAAGTGCTTAAAGTCCACCTGTGAGCATTTTGAAAACAGTGTTGGATTGAACTAGCCGTAAAGAACCATTTTTGCAAAGAAGTGCGTTGTAAAGAACGGTCATCTGAAAGAACTGGCGCGTCGTGATTCTTCTCGGGCCTGATCCTGGTCGTAGTTCGTGAGATCCAGTCTCTACAAATCGTTAAAAATTTTTTGGACCATACAATGACTAACTCCAAGCTGTCTGGCCACATTCCATTACCAATCAAAGTAACAATTTGAACAGATCTAGCAAATTTCTCAGTCATAGTTTTTAATTTAAAAACTGCACAAGTTTACTCTTCGAACAACTCTGCACTTCTGATAGGTTTTTGAGCCATATTCCAAGAAAAATAAAGTACAACCAACACGTGCATTATCCGATGTCGTAAAACTAATATCAATTCTGCAAACTTATTACCCTTAATTTACCTGTCGGCACCGTTTATCGGTAGCTTCTTCTAGTTCCATGACCGTTATCGATCGTTGGATATCATGTTGGCTACCATATTCGCTATCGTGACTTTATTGACAGCAACTCTAAATAACGATGTAGTTGATTTTCCATACCATTGCCTTAGATTTTTCAGCCATGATGTTCTTCTTCTACCAGGACCACTATTACCTTGGATCTTTCCCTGAATGATCAGATGTAAAAGATCATATTTTTCAGGGTGTCTCATAATGTGACCAAGTATTCCAGCTTGCGTTTCTTTATTATATTGACCAGTTGTGTTGTTTGGCTCAGCCGTCTAAGGACCTCCTCATTTCTAACTCTGTCGATCCAGCTTATTTTCAGTAGTCGTCTGTAGACCCACATCTCAAAGACTGTCAAGCGTTTAAGCATAGCCTCAGTTAGAGTCCACGCTTCCACTTCATACAGTAGGACAGGAAAGATGTAGCAAGATGTCATACGAACTTTAAGGTCAATGCTAAGATCGTGACTGCAAAGTACGTTTCCCATTTTTACAAAGGCAGCTCGGGCTTCCTGTTTCCTTCGACACAATTATTGCTACACCATTTTTGTGTGTTTGAGCTGTCTTCTCCTGAATAGTATACAATGTGATCATCTACAGTTACTTTTCCAGACCCCGGCCATCTTATTTCACATCTCTACATCGGTAGCTAAAAGACGCTAAAAGTGTTTTTGCATTGTGGTAATTTAGTTACAGCAGAATAAATTGTATAAACTTAAAGTTATTAAAAAATTCTTACAAAATTCTAGGTGGCCTCTTTTTCGTGACGCGCAGTGTATTAGACTATATCGTCGTATGTATGCAATAGTGGCGTAACTCAAAAATTTATAAAATTGAGTTCAGGAGTACAGCTATTATAAAACTAGAAAAGGCTTACACTGGCAGCCTGCCAATAACTGACAAGAAGAAAAAGACCTTACTTGCATTTGTGAGGATCAGAGTGTTCCTCCAATTCACGCCGATTTTTACCGACATTTAAAGGATTGTTAATCATAACTTCTCCTATTATTATCAATATATACCATTTTACTACTATATTACTATATTATTTTGTACTTCTTATAGTTTTTAATAAACAGAATTTTCTCATTCAAGTAACTTATAGTATTCTTTATTGAACCTTTATTTTAATTGATAGGAATAACAAAAAAAATGTCAGTTTTGTCTTTGCCTTAATTAGTCTTGTAAGACAAAATATTGATGTGCAATAGCGGCACAACTAAAAAAAAAGTGTTGATTTTAAAACTCTGTGCTTTAAATTGTGTGATTACCTAATGCTTTCCCAAATACACCAAAATAAATTTTTTTTAAGATCTCAATTCATATGTAGTAAAGCAAATAAGACAAAATTATTGGCACACAAACTTTAAACTCCTGTTTTGAAAAATTACCAGATTTTGTGTTGGTCCTATATTGCATACAGCTGACGACATAAAAATAATTTATATAACCGTGATAGATATGGAAAACATTACTCTGACACTAAAGGTGAAAAACAATATAATGTAGTTGAAAGTGAAAAAACAAACTGTGATTAGTTGAACATAATGTAGGAGAGAATAATAGTATAAAAACAACTAATTATAAATCTAAGATTTACATAAAATAACATTGTGAAGCAAAAGGTCTCACTTGTAAAGATAATAAACGGGGATAAATTTATAGTAGATATGTAACATCACCGTTACCATGGTACCAATCTAATGATAGAGGAATAGTTGGGATAATACCCCCAATAAAATATTTTTGCAAATATTTTAGTTAAGATCTCTGTAATACTATGGTCGAAATGGAAAATGTATTCGTATATAGTCTAAAATTACGTTATAATTTCGGAAAATAAGACCTTTGTATATATATATATATATATATATATATATATATATATATATATATATATATATATATCCGGTTTTTTAGGCGTCACGCCCGTCCGGTAGGGATCTATGGAGGAGTATCACCGAGCCGCAAGCCCTTATCTCTTGCCGTACTGCTCCACCATAGGCCGATCAGATCCCAGCATATCCTAGTCTAAACCGCAGATTCATCTAGAATTTTAAACTGCTGCGTTAGACTTTTTGTTTTCTGTACACCGAGCTGGGGCTCGATCGCACATCCACTGAACCATTCGACAGTGAAGCGAATGAGAGGCAGCCGCACAGCCCGCTGAGCTATCTGACCGACCTTTGTATCATTCAATAAAATCTAGATGCACTCCACTAGAACTTCTACTAAATTTGTGTAGGTATCGATAAACAATTAATACCTTCTAAAGATAAGTTGAATGTTAAGTAATTTATTAAAAGTAAGCCATGCTATTGAATATAATAGACCCCTGATACTTGGCGAAGTCGACTATAAAAAAACATTTGATACGGTCAATCAAAGTGAAAGGCTCCAAGCTCTAACACAATGTAGAATAGATCACCGATACATATCCCTCATCAGATACATCTATCAGCACGCTACACCCTGTGTATGACTTACTGAAGATACTGGGACCTTTCGTACTGAAAGAGGCGTTCAGCAAGGAGACAACATGCCTCCTAAACTATTTACAACTTTGCTACAATACGCTTGTAAAACAATAGATTGGAACGAAAAAGGCATCAATGTAGATGGAAAATTTTAAATAACCTTAAATTTTAATCAGGCACAGATAATGCTCTAGGAACTCCATACTGCCACAAAAAGAGTTGGACTTAAAATAAATTTTTCAGAAACACAATTTATGACAAATTTAGTCCACAACAAATACATCTCAGTAGAAGACAAAGATATTGAGCCAGTTGACTCCTATAAATACCTGGGCCATGAGATCGAAATAAGTCGAGACAACCAAATAATCGAGCTGAAAAGAAGAATAAACCTCGCTTGGGCTGCATTTGGAAAGGATGAAGGATATTTTAGGTCTAAGATTCCAATGTGTTAGAAAAGAAAAGTATTTAATCAGTGTATTTTGCCAGTTATGACATACGGCGCAGAAACCTTAACACTCACAAGAACAATAGTGAGTAAACTACAAGTTGCGGAAAGGGCAATGGAGAGAATAATGTTAGGGATTTCTCTACGTGATAGAATACCCAATGCTACTACACGCAAAAAAATATTGAAAGGATAACACTAAAGTGGAACTGGGCAAGTCATGTATCAAGATCAGTTGATGACCGGTGGACACAAAGAATTTTGGAATGGAGACCCCGAATAAAAGCTAACAGAAATAGAGGTCGACCCCCAACGAGCTGGACAGATGACATAAAAAGAGTGACTACAAATTGGATTCAGATGGCTCAAAATCGGACTAAGTGAAAACGCATGCGAGAGGCCTATGTTCAGCAGTGGACG